CTGTAATCCACGTGTAAACCAGGATGAAATATAACTTTAAAATTAATTCCACGCGGCGGCTCTGTATCAGTTTGATATGGTGGCCGTACAGAGGGATTTGTTGATAGTCGTGATGTTTGTTGTGGTGGTTGTTGTCCATGTTCACTCCTAGTTGCTGTTGAAGTTGAATTTTCCATTGTTGTTGGTGATGGTGTACTGGTAGAATTAGCAGTATTGTTGCTAGTATTAATAGCAGGCAGCGTTGATGTGGATATATCTACAGAATCCGGGAAATATTCAGATAATGCTATTGAAGATGTTGTCAGTGTTGCTGCTGCTGCTGCTGCTGCTGTTGTTGTTGTTATATTATTGGTATTACCACTATTGCTATTATTATTTTCATTAATATTTTCATTATTAGTGTAATTTTTTTCAGCAGAAGATACATTGTTGTTATTAATGTTTTCGGTTTTATTGATGTCTTCACCAGACATTTTTGCTAGTTTGGCACGCGCGTAATGAGATGATATAATCGTAATGTTGTATTTGCGATCTGAAGAAATCCCTTAAAATAATTTACCGAGTACCGTAAAGTCCCGATAATAAGCAACCCCCTACGTCATCATTTTTGGAGGGGGGGATTGCTTATTTTCAGGCCCTTTTCGAATACCTAATCTCTATTGGTCCAATTTCTAAATTACATAACGCTATTATGTTAACGTTTAGCATGGAATTGGACTAACGTCATCAGGTAGATCCTGATCCGCGTGATATTGGTCACGAGATCAGGTCTCGTGATTAGTGAAATTAGCAATGTACGGGGGTTAGTGAAGTAAGTATATGCAGCAAGGCAAAGTCTCAGATTGATGTATTGATAGGAAGATAATCTGATATAGAGTATACTAATAAATCCCAAATATATAAAGATGTATCAATAAGATGCTGACTAATTAAAATAAAAATGATTTATTAGTCTTGGTGACATAATAAAGTGAGATTGTAATGAGAATAGTATTAAAAAGGGATTATTTATTTAACTTTTCTAAGACTTTTAGATTTGAAAAGAGAAAATTGCTTATTTTAGAGAGTTACTTATTATCAGAACTTTATAGTATATCTAATCTGCTATAAATAATAAAAAAGAATAAAGCTAATTCTTGAAAATAAACTAAAGGATTCAATTATTCACAGAAATAAAATAAAAATAAATCTATTATAAATCTATTAACTAAAAAAATCTCAAGATATAATAAATATATTCTTTACTCAATAATTATTAAATACTAAAAATGAAAGAGAACAAAAAATCAATCACAAAAAGTTGATAAAAAAAAGTAATATTTAATAACTTACATAAAAAAAATTAATAAAAATAAAAGTAAATAATAAAAATAATGAATTATAATTGTAAATAATAAATAAAATCAAAAAAATCAAAATATAGAGTTACATTTATTTTATATACTTTTAGAAGTTTGAGAAGATAGAGTATTTAAAAATAAGTATATATATATATATATATATAAGACAAGATTACTTCTTGTTAATAATTAAAAAATAAGTAATTGATTCATAGTTAATATTTTTTCTGTTTTGTAAACTGAAAATTCTGAGCATAATAAAATTATCAGGATATATAGATATATATTTATTTAATAATAATACTAATAATAATAATTAAATAATAAAAATATCAGTTAGATGATTTAGAGTTATAATATATTTTTATAATTCAAATTGATTTATTGCTTAATAATATTTATTAATAAAAATTATATATAAAAATTCATCTTATATATATTTATTAGCATATTAAATAAATTACATATAAATATGAATAAAAATATTACTTCTATTTTTTTCTTTCTTTTTTTTCTTTTTTTAATAATTTAAAATATTATTCAAAATATTTTTTATATTTTATTTAGTTTATTATATTATAAATATTATTAATATTAGCTTTTGATATCTTATCAAATATTTTGTATTAATAATTAAAATAAAGAAAGATTATAAGTAAAAATCTTCTGATACTTATCTTTATAATATAATTATAAATATATTTTTTAAGTTATTTTCAGAAATAATTATTAATAATATTCAATTTAAAAAATATATTTCAAGTATTTTAAAGTAAAAAATATTTAAGATTATTATATTATATATAAAGTAGAATAATATTATTAAATTTAATTTTTAAATATTTATTTATAATATATTAATAATAATAATACTATTATTATTATTATTATTTTAAGATGCTACAGTGTAATCCTACTCAAAATGTAAGAAACTATGCTAAAATACAGAA